CTGGCTGTTGTGGGGGACGTTGGGGTAAGGGGTGCACCACCACTGTGATTCCCCCCTCACTTGCCCTCAGGTGGGGAGGTGGGGGGAAGTCCTGCTGCTTGGGTGGCTGGGGTGTGTTCACCACTGCCACAAACTTCGCCAGCAGCAGCACAAACTTGGGCCCACGTAGCCCAGGCCACACAGCCAATCGCCAGCCGCCGTCTCAGTGGTGCACATACAGTTGCCCAAAAGCGTTACGGACAGCCAAACAGACTAAGCTTTTTATTATATTTGAAGAAATTGTAAACATCCATATATTTTGGCATTTGAATTTGGTTTTTATACCATTAAAATCAGAGCTTCCCTGCCCCCTTCACTCACCAGGATGCGGGTTCAGCTGTGGCTGTGTACCCCACTGCTTTGTGGTGCTGAACAGCCCTGATATGCTGGTGCCCTGGCCCTGGCCATACCATTGCCCATCACTCCCAAGCCAGCCCTGCTGGTGCCCCTGACTCCCAACCCATAGCCCTGTCCCCATCAGTGCCCCTCACTCCCAACCTGCCATTCCTCTGCTGATACTCCTCACTCATGACCTGCAGCCCCCTGACTTCCCCTGCCTTGCCAGTGGGGCCCACCAGCTGCCCCTCAGCCCCCAGCCCCCTGTGAACTCACAGGATGGTGGTCTGCAGCAACAAGGCAGAGATGGCACGAGCAATTTAAGGGCTGAGAGCAGGCAGCTGGCAGGTGCTTGATGAAGGCAGACATTTTAGAGCCCAGCTGTGAGGGAGAAGGGGACTGGCAGGACTGTCTGTGGTAGGACAGCCCCCAAGACGTACAAGACCTGTTACCCACCATCTGGTAGGTGAGTGTGAAGAGCAGTAGGGGCCAGGCATGCTAATAAAGAGGTACCTGAGCCCAGCAGGGGTGACAGACCCTGGAGGCCCCAGAGCAGGTAGTTTTTTTGTGAGGGCCCACACAGAGTAGGGTGCAGAAAGGCACTTGGAGGACTGTGCATGTGTGGTGCGGAGTAGGGATGCTGCAGGTGCCTTCAAGGGCTGCACCAGAGTGTCCTGAGTAAGGCTGCAAGGGCAGCTTGAAGGACAGTACATGGGCCAACCCTAAGAGTGAGACTAGGAACAAGTTACCTGGTGAGGGGCTTGGGACAGAAGCAGCCCAGCATTCAGCAGAAGGAAATGCCACATAGAGTAGGTGAGCTTCAGCAACCCAAAGTTGCTTTGTGTGTAATGCCAGTGTGCGTAGCAAAGCCTGAAGGCCCAAAGGGATTGCTCAAGGGGAGCAAGGGCAGTAGAGAATGGCCCAGTATGCTAGAGGCCCCTGTAAGAGGGGGGTGGAGCGAGTGAGAGTGTGTAAGAGGCCAATAATGATCTGAGTTTGCCAGAAACCAGGGAGCAATAGTAATCTGGATGCCATCTGTGAGGCATGGGCCACAGTGTAGGGAAGGTACAGAGCCGTGGATAGCGCCCCCTGGCATCGGGGCAGTGAATGGGCAGCCTTCTACTTGTATTGTACATCAAGTTGTGGCAGGCAAGACAGGGCAGACTGCCCTAGATAGGTGGGTGGGCAAGACATGAGACCTGGCCCAGGGTAGCTCTGTCACACATGGCCTCCAGCACAAGGTGCATAGAGAGCACGGAAGCACAGCTGGGGTGGGGGCTGCTACGCGGCAGGGAGGACCAGCGCTGTGCTCCACAGCAGCAGCATGAAGCTGAGCACAGCTCTGGCATGGGTCATGCTGCTGCTGTGGCATGGACAGCAGGAGGAGGCGAGGGGCTCCTGGCAGTCTGCATCCTGCTGCAGTGGCTCCAGCTGCAGCAGCTCCGGCTTGTGCAAGCAGCAACAGAGAGTCCAGTCCCACACCATGCCAGGTGGTCTGGCCACAGCCCCATCCCCTCCCCAGGCAGCAACTCCCACTGAGCCTGCGCCTGCCCCTGAGAGCACAAGCACCGGCCCCCGGCACCACCACACAGCTCCTCACTGCCTGTGAAGGACACCCCCCCACACACCCCTGGCCCTGTTTCCTTGCTGGAGGGGCAGGCACCTCCAGGCAAGCCCCACTGGCAACAACATGGAGCTGGGCTTCCTGGCAGCACTGAGTGCTGCTTCACCCCTGCCCTGCTGCAGCCCCTGAACCCAGACACCCTCCCCCAGCACCGGCAGGTACCCATGCTATGTCATGAGAACACACACGCATGCCCCCCCATCCCCTCCCCCCCAAGCTTCCAGATAGTCCCACATCCCCTCCATACCCCACCATCCCCCTTCCTTCCAGACAGTCCCCAAGCCCTTGCCCTTCAATCCCACCACACCATCCCATAGACTTACCTGTATCCAGCTGTTGGCGCTGCTCCCACCACCCTGCCTGGCTGTATTGCCAGCCATGCGTGTGCATGCACACGTGTATGTGTTGCCCTTGCCTCTGATTGTCCCTCCCGTTCCCCCCAGCCCCAAGCAGCTACTTGCCAGCTGAAACTCTGCCAGCCTGCAAGGGGAAACCCATGGTTTCCTGATTCACAGGGGAAAATCTGTGTTTTTCTCCTTTAAAGGGGGAAATCAGTGTTTTTCTGCAGGAAATGGAAAACCCAGATTCCAGCTAATGAGAAAGGGTTCCAATGGCAACAGTTCTGCTACACTTGTGTCACAGTGTAACAACATCCTTTGATATCCATGCAACTGTTACAGCTATCTGTACCCTTAAACACAGCTTTGACCACCAATCCAGGGCAGAGTGAAAGATCTGCTCTAAATAGAAAAGTAGAACCTCAGAGCTCTACTCAAGTTAGTCAGCCCGCTATACAGCAGCTGAGGACTGGCCCTCCATTTGCAACTGAACTGCTTCATCGTGGAATCCTGACATTTAAAGCCCAGTATAAAAATGACCTTTATTTCTATCCCAACACTGCATTGTTCTTCCCTGCTCCAGACAGAGCGCAACGTGCCTTGCCCAACACCTGACACATTTCTCAAAAGCCTCTTTTAATTATTCCAAATTCCTTTAATTCCTCCCAACTGAAATCAGCATTCCTCAGTGCTTCATATGAGAAGAAACAAATCCATAAAGCATTTGCCCATCACTAAAGTAAACAGACTGGCCAATTATTTATTCATGATTTTATCAAGGCCACATGTAATTTAATTTTCTATTTGGTTTACAACATGAAAGGACATTTTTATGCCTACATCTGAAAGGGAGGAGGGAGAGTAGAGACCTGGTCAAATTACGTGGAGAATTCTGTGCATGCTTCTATGTACTGTAGGTACAGCAAAAGTAGACCTAAATTCATCTCTTGCTGTTCCCCTACTGGTAACACCCACCAAGTCTGTAACACTGAAAGGATTCAAGGACTACATTCACAAGAGTTTAGACACCTAAAAGTCTCTCGAGTGTCTGCCAGTGACACCTCCTGGGTTACCAAGTTTGTGCTGCTGGGTTGATGCAGAATTACCTAAATCTTGACAGTAGTGAGCACGCTCAGCACTCTCATGTTGAAGCCTCAGGATTCACAAATGCCACTTTTGTCAGGCAAGGCTGTGTGGGGGCAGGCGCACTCTGAGCCCAAACACACACAAAAAAATGGTGGTAACTAGCTCTGTTATCCAATAGCCTCATGGTTAGGACACTGGACTGGAGTATAGGAGACCCAGGCTTGACTCCATCTGCTGCCAGGGAGCATCTGAACTCAAATCTTCCAGCCCCCTGGAGAGGGCCCTATGTGCTCACTTTGGAAAATGGGGAATGGGCCTTCCCTCTCTCCTACTGATGCCATTTCACTTTGTGGGAAACGAAACAAAAACATTTAAGTGTACACTGGACCTGAAAAAGTCTCCTCATGGCAGCTGGGAACCCTAACCACTGGAGCTAGACAACCATGCTCGCACTCCACAGCCAGGAATTCCCCCATGCTGCAATTAGAAACTGAGTAGAAATACTCCATTTTAAAAACAGTTTTTTTGCCAAAAATTCTCACGGTTTTTTTCCTCTCTTCGCTGAAAAATCAACTTTCTTCCTTGGGGGAAAATGTCACCAGTTCTAATAAAGACATTGATTTAAACATCTTCAGACAGATTTTATTGCCCCCTGTATATATTGAACAATACCTTAATTTCAGGAGCAGACAGACTGATTTCACAAGCTGTCCCTTATTAACAATGGATTTCTTAGGGTCCAATCCTGAAAAAGTGAATAGCCTTTAAAAAACGTTGATAACTGGGCTTACAGACAGTTGATCTGACTCTATGATACAGACACCTAGAAAGATGAAGATAGCATCCAATATAAAAATATGTTTATTTTTCTTTCTAGTTTCAGAAAGAGTACTACTTTTATTTTTCAACCAACAGGTTTTAAACAGTATTAAGAAATTTGTATTTGGTATACCCTGCAAAGTACATCATTGGTACATGTATTCTATGACATGCACTTCTAAGTAAAATCTTTAAAAAACAAGAAACGTATTCACTTGTATCAATACAGCATCCTGTAAAGAATCATGCCAAAAGTTATTGGATCAACATGATCCAATTGTTCAAAAAAGTACTCTGCAATGGATAAGCAAATTACTGTACTGTACACAGTTCAGGCTATAACCAGTTCCTCTTCCTCTTCCCAACTTGAAAGACTCTTAATTATCCAGGGCTGGAGGCCAGTCAACATCAACAGACTAAAAGAGAAGAAAATAAAAGTCACAAGATTAGGAGAGCCCAGGCAGGAAAGGGGAGTGTGTCCTACAGACATGTCACTAGAACTTCCTGAATACTAATCAAGGACAATACCAGTGTAGACAGAAATGATAGAAATGATCCTGAAGACACTTAGCAAAACAACAAAGCAGGGGACCATACCAACAGACAGTGGTAGGACACAGCCACTTTTCTCTGGTGGCCTCTCAAGTTTCTGAAGAGCAAAAACTTTAGGTTTTAAACTTAAAATCCAGTTTTAACTTCTAGCATTTACACTAGCTCTTCCATATCTTGATGCACTGACACTGACCTGCTGACAGCCCCACACTACAGCTGAGATGTGATCTGGCTCCACTCACCACAATGAGGAGTTAATTCTGTAGATGAAGTGTGGCAATTTAAGTGTGACTAGGTATTATTAGTGCTTCTCAGCACTGCAGAAACAATGGGCTCTTATGGGATTGTGGACAGGGCAAGAATAGAGATCAATCACTCCTCTCTCCAAATCTGACTTCTGAATAAGGCATTCAAAAAATAAGATGGCAAATATTATGCATTGCTATTATGTACGTCAGATAATTAACAGTCCTCCTCACTTCTGGTCAAAATGAACAGAGCATATTTGACATATACTTTATTAGCAGTGAGTCTAATAATTAATGGAACCTGGATTATCTTTCTCCCCTAGCCTCACTGAGGCCACAACTCCAATTCCCTGTAGGTGTAAAATTGTTGCCAACTCTGTTCCATAGGCAGCACATCCTACACTAATGAAGTATGAGACATTTGTCAAAGCAGGGGTCACAATGCAGCACATCAAACACCTTGGCTTCAAGGCTGCCTAAATTAATCATACCTACTCGTTACCTAATCTACATCTTCATCAAAGGATTAGGTTCTTATGTGAAGCTAAATGCATTATTAGCAAAATGACTAATTATTTCCAGGTCCCTGGACATCTTTCATAGTTATGTCCAATAATTGCACTGACATCTATCAGCATGAGAATGATGCTTATCAGCTTCAGCCTGGTATAAGTGGCTTGTATTTTCAGCAGTATGTGTAGGTTGCCTTTGCAGCCTCTTTTCCTTACCCTGTTCCCCTCAACAAGAGGAATATGAAGAAAAGTGACATTTTATCTTGTCACAGAAAATCTCACACAAACATGGGCTAACGTTACAGGGTTACAGATTAGCAAGGTAGAAACTCTTTGTTGTTTGACATTAAAAATATCTGATTTTAACATTAAACATTTAACATTACTTAAATATGAAATCCAAGCTTGCTATGTACACTAGTATAATTACGTCAGAGTTAAAGAGTTCAGAAATTTGACGTAATTCAGTCTTTAGGGACAGCTGAGACTTCCCACAGAATCAATCATTTTTCATAACTAAGGCTCAAAATTTTTATTTGAAATTCTACACAATGAAAGACATTTTAATTCCTAACTCTTTAAAACAAAATACCCAAGATCAAAAATACAAGACAGTTCATTTAGGACACTGGTTTTAGTAACAGATTTTAAGGATTTTTTTTTTTTTTTTTAAGATTCCTGTAGAATGGCTGCAATTCCCCAAATACGAATGTTGATATCCTGGCCCCACTGAATGAGAGGCTCCCAAGGGCTCCCACTGCTTCTCCGCAGTTAACTGTTCCCAAATAACTACTCTGTGGGTTTCCTTTGCGACAGAGGTTCAGGAATTTATGATCAGGTAATTAAAAATGGGGAAAAAAAACAAACTTTCCAACAGGCATTTTATGAGGATTCCTTGTTTCCAGTATTGGCAAAATCTTCTCAACAGCCAAAGAAACTTCAGCAGAAGCCTTCCTTTTCACAGTGCCACCTACGTAAATAACTCCTGATTTGATGAGACTACCTCTGGTGCAAGAAGAACTGAATCTCCATGTCCATCTGGTTATTTACCATTAAGGCTATTGACACAGTTCTGTGGATACAGGTCCACCAGAAAATTTCTCTGATAAGCCCCTGTGCTGCAAAAGCCTCCAGGAAGGCAGAATCCAGCAGCTGTGCCAAACCCTTATGACTTCAGCTTTGGACCTGTGTGACATCATGGAAATCAATGGCCCCCCAGTATGGCTGAACTTTCTCCATTATTTTGTAGTAACATCCTCCTTTGCATTAATTGTCAAAAATGTTAATTAGGCCAGAGCAAGAAAGCTTACACAGCTGTTCAAATGCAACTGTGCTGCTGCCCCCCAGGGAAGATCCATAATGAACAGCTTACTTCCACATCCAGCTCCAGAATGTCAGCAGTTGTGTTCATCAGGGATCCAATGTTGGGCTTTGTTCTTCCAAAATCTCCGTGCACAAACTCTTTAATGTAGCTAGACCTTGGTTAAGGGAAAGTGGATGTGGGCATAATGTGACTGACACAGTTTATCTACAGAGGGAAAAAGGATATGGCTAGAAACATTTAAGCAGAGACACCAATGCCTGTTTCTGTTCTTGATCCTTCAAGATGCACAGGTTATGTCTTATACATTTGATTTGGGAACTGTTACCTGGAAGTGCAATAAAAGGCACCTTACTCTGGAACCCAAATGCAATGCTGAAAGCTACATATTTTTTGCTCCTTTTAAAACCGGGTAGTGTTTTTTTTTACAAAACTGCAAACCTATTAACATATAAGTAGCAACAACCCACACTCCATCCCAATGTGTATTTATTAGGGTGGAAAAACTGGGGCTTGTTTCTTGTTTTGTGCAGCTGTTGCTCAGATAAATGACAGTCATGCTGCTGAATTTCCTTTCAAGAAATGTTAGAACCTAAGAGCTGGGAAAACAGCAAATCATAAAAAAATAAATAACTTCAAGACTCTAACAAAAGCCACCTATTCATAACTCCCTGCTTCATCTTTGCAGCACAGCTGAAGTCCTACGTTATATTTATCAATGCCAACAGCAGTATGTCCACTGATGGCAATGAGCTGGATTGAACCCTTGTTTCATAGATTTAGGGTCGGAAGGGACCTAGCAGATCTTCTAGCCCGACCCCCCGCCAGGGCGGGAGAACAACAAAACCCCAAAATAAAAATGGGACTCAAATGAGTCCAGCCAGGTAGGCATCCAGCCTCTTCTTACAAGACCCCCAGGGTAGGGGCCAGCACCACTTCCTTTGGAAGTTGGTTCCAGCTCCTAGCTGCCCTAACTGTGAAGTAGTTTTTGCGGATGTCCAATCTATACCTCCTCTCCATCAACTTGTGCCCATTACTCCTTGTTATGCCAGCGGGCACTAGGGAAAACAGCATCTCCCCCAAACCCTTTTGGTCCCCCCTAGTGAGTTTATAGACGGTCACCAGGTCCCCCCTCAGCCTTCTCTTGTGGAGGCTGAATAGGTTCAGGTCCCGCAGTCTCTCACTGTAGGGTCTGCCCTGTTGTCCCCAGATCATGCGGGTAGCCCTCCTCTGGACCCTCTCCATGTTGTCCACATCCCTCTTGAAATGGGGCGCACAGAACTGGACACAATACTCCAGCTGTGGCCTGACCAGTGTCACGTAGAGGGGGAGGATCACCTCCTTGGCTCTACTCGAGATGCACCTGTGGATGCACGATAAGGTCCGGTTAGCCCTGCCAACCATGGCCTCGCATTGTCGGCCCATGTTCATCTCGGAGTCAATAATGACAAGGTCCATGTAAGACCTAGAAACATGGTCAAGGTCCATATAAGACCTAGAAACAAAAGGATACATTAAAAGAGCATTTTTCAAGCACACCTGAGATTTTTTTTCCCCTATGCATTGAGGACAGTGTGTGTTTCATTATGCTACACACATACCATGAACAGCACTACTGGGTCATATCTTCAATATGAAGATTTTCTTTAAAAACTTGCTAAAAAAGTGGGCACACACCAGTCAAATGCTGCCCAAAATTCAGTGCAAATGCAAGCAGAGCCAAAAGCTGGCAACTAAAATGTATAGTTCTATCTTCCCAACCTAGGATAGGGCCCAAGGCTTGAATTTCAGCATTCTTAAACAATTCTAGGGAAAGCTGAACTGCATATATAGCTGTGCATTTCAGTTGCTCACATCTACCTTCAAACTGATTTTTTAAAACAACAATTGTGTTTTGTTTTGTTTTGCTTGTATATCCAAGTTTGCATTTTGGGGCTAAAAACATGTAAGTTTAATCTCTGAGGCCAAACCACCAAAACACGGGAGTTTGTAATGGAAACAATTGACTCCAATGGTACCAAGAAGCACAATTTATTCAGGCAAATGTTTTACTGAAGCAGCTGTATGGGCAGGAGAGATGTCTGACAAACCTTTGGGGATGAAACAGCTTTTCCCAAAGGCACCACTAGAAGACAACACTGACTGAACTACTACTTCAACACAGATTTTTTTTTTTTTTTGTAAATTAATCATACAGGAAGTCTAAAGCAATGTTTCTCAACCCGTGGGTTGTGACTCAAAAGTGAGTTGCCAGAATATATGAAAGGGTCATGAACAAACTTTAAAAAAATGGATCGGTAAAATTAAAAAATGGATTCTCTTTTAAAGGAGAAAAACAAGGGAAACTGCAGGTTTCCCCTTTTGGGTTGGCAGAGTTCCAGCCTGTGAGGGTCTGCTTGGGGCTGAGGGTAGCAGGAGGAAGGCAACCAGGCAGGGGGTGCCACATGCATGTGTGCATACACATGCACATGGCAACCAAACAGCATGGAGAGCAGTTCCCACAGCTCTCTGCAGGTGAGTCCCGCCCATGCTGGTCCAGCCAGGCTGCAGCCCCATGCCCACTGTGAGTGCACAAAATCTGAGGGGGAGGAAGGGGAGTGCCCTCCATGCCCCACCCCCTGCGGCCTGGGGGTGGGGGGCAGTGGATCAGGAAGCAGGGCTGATGGGGCGGAGGGCTGTAGGTTGGGAGCGAGGGGCACTGACAAAGCCAGGGGGCTGTTTTCTATTTGAACTATTTACTGGGTTGGGACTGGCCATCAATGTTTACAAATGGGTCCTGGTACAAAAAAGGGTTTGAGAACTACTGGTCTGAAGGATACGTCCCAGCTTGTGTTTTCAGATTCAGACGAAAATGATGTTCATCTATGTACTCTGATGTCATGGTGTGAATAACACGAGTTCTTACTGCTAGAGGCCTTCTGTGAAGAACTCGCAGAGGGGTTTTTTGGTCAAGTTTTAATTCCTATTGAAAGATTTAACAAAAAGAATAAACTAATGGTCCAAACACCAAGCACGCACGCATGAATACTCCCCTCCCACACACACAGACAAACATGAGCACATATACACACATGCTCACACACAAACACACATAAGCATTTAGCTTTCTCCCTTACTCTAAGGCATCTTTGTAAGAATACATTTTGAGAGTTGAAGGCTCTTCTTCAATTTTCCCTCCAAATATATTGGGGAGAAGGACAACTTAAAAGCATACTGAGACAGTCTCATGTGAATGCAAGCTAGGAAAACCAGAAATGCAGAGGAATAATAACCTTGAAATCTCCATAGTCTCTTGCTGGAATAACTCCAGGATTTACACACTCAATGAGAGCCTCGGGCCACTCTCAAAAAAAAAAAAAAAAAAAAAAAAAAAAAAAAAA